TTGCTTATCATAAAAAGGTGTAAATAAGTTGGCATTCTATCGGCTAAATATCTACAGCCTAACGTTCTTTCACTCAATAACTCAATAAATAAATAACATCACCATCACCATCTTTGTCAACGTCACTATCATCATTATTATAATCTAGTAGTGTACCATTTAAACTCTATCACCAAATCCTCTTGGACCATCGGTGCTCGATTGTCACGTGCGCACCTGACAAAATATCCAGATCCGCCAAAACCAGAACAGTGACTCGTGCATGACGTCATGAGTACTTGCAAGCAGAATTTTGCGTTCATCCTCATTGCGCAAATAATACAACCTTATTATTATTATTATTATTATTATTATTATTATTATTATTATTATTATTCTTTCTTTAGGCACAAAACACATGTGCCAAGGATTGCCAATAGCGAATATATATCACTGTCCTACTTGTAGGTGACAATCCCTTACACAAGACAAACATAGGCCTCTACACACGAGGCTTTACACAAACTAAATCTCAATATGAGATTTAGGGAGTGGAGTTGTTTATGTCGTGAGAAAAAATCCTGCAACTGGCAAGAATTGAACCCAGGACCCTGGGATTGGAAGGCAAGCATCTTAACCACCAAGCTATTCAACTCCACTCCCTCTTAGAGATAATGATTTGTGTATGACACGTCAACCGTTAGTATATTCAAAACTATAATACTTTTTATTTATTTTTCTTTTTTAAACATTTTAGAAACAGAGTAGGCATGTATATTGGCGAAAATATAATCGGCATAGGAAATATGGAGTGGCGCTACGATGTCAATGTAATTATAATATGTTTTTTTCCCCATTTTTAAAAAAAGTTATACCAGTCAAGGCCAGTTTTAAGTAAATTTCTTGCTTGCATTTGTGCAATCATGGACGTCGCGCAGGATATTCAGTCATGTGAGAAATTCCAAGTAACAGCAAAATAAAAAATACAATACTACGTTTTCTTTAAAAGTTGTATTAAATTAAGATATTTTTATTTTCAAATTTAAATAGCTATTGCACGATTGTCAATTACAATTTCTATATACAGTATTTTGCTCAACGATTTATAAAAATAGTTTTGTTTCATGATTCGTAATGGTTATAAATAATGGCTTTAATAAAGATGTAATATAGTATACAATTAAATTTAATTTTACTAACAAACAACTAATAAAAATAAAAAAAATCAATGAAGCCATAAGCAATCCTTTGAGAACATTATTAATTACTTGTAGATTATAATCGAAAATATTAAACTGTATGGCTCTGATACCTTGGTCGTCAAACTGAATGCTCCATTCACCATGTACAGCAATTTGGTAGTAGATAATGATTCAAATTGAGGCAGATGCCACATGGAAATACTGGCAAAGGAGATCTTCGTGTCGATTACGTCTTTGTTGTCGTCAAGGGCTTTCTGAATAGATCTTGTAAGAACGTCATCACCAATTGGCTTAGAGTTCGCAAACCTTCCTTCGACGACAATAGGTTGTTTCAGAGCTGGGACGCAATTGATCACATCCATCGAGAAGCACTTTCGAATAAGATTAAGCGCAGCCAGGTGGTCTGGTTCCATATTTTCCACAACCGGAATGCTGATATCGAAATAGCTGCCATCCAAAAGAACAAGTGCTCTAGCATATTGTCGGATTAAGATGTCAAATTGTGGATCAGAATCACAGTATGCGATGGAAGCGCGTGGAAGATCTACGGCAATGCCATACATAATCCTCAACAGTATAACGCGGATATGTGATGGCACATTGATCCAAACCAGTGGTCGATGTGTTGGCTTAGGATCTCCATCAACCTCGGATCTCTCAACAGTAAAACAGCATTTGAAATATTTGTTGAAGAAACGGGCAAAAGCGGACAGTCTGTGGGAAAAGAAAGCAGCTATAACTAACATACATCTATAAATTTGCATAGTTTATAAATTTCATTAGGCCTATGTATGTTTACAAAAACTCGTTTGAACAAAATGTCTGATAAGAAATTTCCTTATACATTTATATTATCATCATTATACCGTAGACTATATTAAAATTATATTAAAGCAGGTTTACATGAAGAAGTGAAAACTGTTTTTTTTTACCTTTTTTGACGTCCTTGAGAATTTCGATTAAATAGACGATTGATTCGTCCTGGCATAATCTAATGAAAGAAATAATTCAAATTTGAGAATGACCTAATGAACTGTAGACATAAAAATGACATTACAAAATTAAATACAATAATAAGCCAACGTTTAAAAAAAAAATTATATTAAGCTAAAATTATAATACTGTAATAACAAAACTGTTACATTTTAAACAAAATAAGCAGCGTACACCTACCAGTGAAGTACAGCGTAAAAATAAATCAATTTTCTTTCTGTAAGAAAAAAGATTATTTAACGAAGTGTTGCAAATGGATCAGAATCCTTCGAGAAAAAAAATGGCCTAGCTAGGCCTATTCCAAAAATTATGTAAGTTATCGTCGATTATTGTTATGAGACAAATTCTATGCTAGGTATGGATAAATAGAGGCCTAATTGGATGAAAGATACAAGATTGTTAAGAATACAGTAAATGGATTCTATTGACAAATAATTATTGAATTCATTTTTTCTATCTAGTAGTAGTCCCCTAGGATATTTCTTATAAAAAGTCGTTGGTTTATTCATTTAATAAATTCTAGTGAAAGGTGTGCTAATGTGATTCTAAATATAAGTTACTTTAATTGTGTTAGTTACTGTATGAGTACAGAAAAGGTTATTGGAATTGGTATCACTAACTCATAACCATTAAGTCTTGCTGTTATACTAAAGTTTCCTAACCATTTGCCTTTATTGTCAGATCCAGAAGACTTGGTCTGTCTGTCTGTCAGTTCGGTCGTCAAGCCTAGGCTACTTTTTTGGCTGAACTTAATTTTGTTAATCTTGTCTGATTTTATCGTCGTACCCAGACAAAATGCGTTGTGTATAATCTTCAACTTAAAATACTAGTTAGGAACTTAAATTTTCGATGACAATGTAATAAATAACTTTAAAAACTGCAAAACTTACAGAGAGTTTGGTTAGTCAATGCTATCCTCTTCAAGTTCATGAAGTGTATTGTTGCAATCTCCATGACTGTCACTACAACAAAAATGTTACCATGAGCACGCGTAAATGAACGCACATTCATGTTTCGCGCACTACGCAAGATCTTATCCGTTTTTTGAATCCGTCAGTAAAATCCAAGTAGAATAATACCATCAATAATGCATCAATCGTCGTGTTTTATTTGTATTTTTTGTAATGTAGCAAAACCGAAATGGTTTGAACATAGTACCTCCATGGTTAAGACTTTTATTGAAATCTGCTCGACGACCTCAGTTAGTAGCAAAGCCTAAAAAATAGGCACCAGAGGTTCGTGTGCGATCGATGTATGGGATGGGAGGTCCTACCGGTTTAATCGATTTTAGAGTCTACTAATAGGCGCTATGTAGAAAATACATATAATTTTTTTTCCACCCCGAGGAATTGTGCTTTTTCTCCCCAACGGGGGGGGTCCCCGAGGGGGGGGGGGGGGGCAGCTCTCCTCGACGGGGTCCCTACGTTATGTGAGGTACGTAGGACCCCGGCGGGGTCCAGGGTGACGGACCCCCTGTGAAGTAGCGCACTCTGAACGTTTTAAGGACTTTTTTGATAGGATAAAGTGAAAATTGCATTAGACGCTTCATAAATAATAGTAGGCCCAACAATAATTATAATAAATCAACAGTGGCGGATTCAGGAATTCGAAAGAGAGGTGACCAAGGGAGGGACTTTCACAGACTAAGGAACCACCCACCTCAGCCCCACCATGGACCATGATGAAATTTGAGCAATAAACCAGAATTTTCTCCCCAAATCTTTGGAGTGAATAATGGATTAATATTTGCCAACTGCATGTGTTACAGTAACGGTAGTTCGTATAAACCAGTCTTGTCAATTTCGACCCTTAACCATGGGGATTTCTTTTCCTTCGTTTTTTCTGCACTTTCATAGGATCCTAATTTATTCATTAACATTGCATCATGAAACAATATTGGGAACATATAAAACTATTGTTTTAGTTATATTTCTGCTCATTTCTTATTATAAAGGAATTGTATTTGCATTGCATACTATTACTATAAATTAGTTCTAATTCTACTGTAACTAATTATGTCAATAAAAATCAAATTATATCAAATTATTATCATTATATGAAAACATGCAAAACCCCTAGGGAACAATTTCACGTTTTTGGTTAGTGTGCCCTGAATAGGGGTACCCCTATTCAGGGGACACCCCTATTAATGAGACACTTTTTTTTGGTCCCGAAGGTGTCCCCTTAATAGGGGTTCTACTGTAATATCGGTACTAATACTGACCCCTGAGAAATGCCGGAGGAAACCCCACACCAATCTGAACATTGACCATTGAACACAACTTTTGTCTTCGACCAATGAGAAAGGATCCAAAACAACACAATAAAGACCCTTTGATACCATAAGTGAAAGAAAGCTTATTAATAAGTGTCCGGTGAGATATGTAGTTAAATGCAGCCAAATATCTTTTAGAGTTGTGTTTGGTACTGTTTCAATATCACAAAAATAATACAATATAATGCTTTAATTCTTTCTCAGATAATAATTGTAATGAATAAAATAAACTGTTTAAGAGTTGCTACAGTATTCAGATTTCAGTTTAAGTGGTTGTTACCTTTTTTAGATATAGTAAACATTTTAAAAGATATTCCACTACATATCTAATAAACAAATTCAAATGAAATTTATTCTAACAAAACAAATATTGTGATTTGTAACAAAAATTACCGGTGATGACAAACATAAACATCACATCTCTAATATTTTCCATTTTTCTGTACAGGCTGTTTACTCTACCCTTTACATGTCCCTACACTCCTACCTACACTTTACAAAATATTGTTTATCGTTGAGGGGGCTATTTATTTTTAAGAGTCACATTCGTCGTGTGTCGCGTCGTACGTCAGCAGCCGCCCGCTTCCTAATAAATCTGCCTGGGGTTCGGCTCTGCTTTTTCATGATTATTACTTCTACTTAATGGAAAGATAATGAGCAGCAGAAGCAGTATATCTTTACTCAACTTTTTTATTTATAACCCTGATTATGGCCCTCGTGAAGGAGAGGTTTGTATTCATTGTAGTGTTGGTGTTCGTCCTGCTAGGCTGTAGGCTTTTAGGTAGGCCTAAGCCTAAATGCTTCATTAGAAAGCAGGAGGGGAGGCCTCGTGTTGGCCATCGTTGGCATTTTTACTTTGAAAGGAAGTGATCTCAAAATTCATTATCAATCTAGACCACATAGGTCAGGGGGTAAGAAGTCTGCGACAAGGGGATTCTGAACCAGACTGACTAGATAGTCCTCTGGCGCTAATGCACTTTAGTACTCCACCCTAACACTAACCTTAATTCTTAACAACTAGCCTAGGCCTATGGCTGCTATAGCATAGCAAGACTGTAGTTGAGGTTAAGAAGAAGGTTAGGGTGGAGTACTAATAAAGTGCATTAGCGCCTGCTCATCTTTTAATGGTACTAAGTCAAATGGAAGAGATTTCATGATTTAGGTTGGTAAAAATTTGTGCTTTTTTTTTTAAACACAATTATTAGTAGTATATAGGCCAGTAGGGTAGCAGGTCAAAATGGCAATAAACCAAAACGGCAATGACCAGAAGGGCAATGACCAAAAAGGCAATAACCAACACAGCAATGAACCAAAACAGCAATGACACTACCAAAACGGCAACAGACCAAAACGGCAATGACCAGTACCAAAACGGCATGGACCAAAAAATGGCAAAGGACCGAAATCAAATGCCAAGACTAGCAAGCAGACGTGGGCCGCAGTTATAATTTTCTGAATCGTTTTGAAATTGTCCTGATAGGCAAATTGAATATTGCCATGGGCTCTTTTTCCCACTTTTAATGTTTATTATTATTGTTATTATTTTGCATTTTTTTACTTTTATGACATATTAATTTTAGCCATATTAGCCTCATTTTGTCTGTATTTGAAAGTTTTATTTGTTTAAATGTTTTACTGATTTCATATTGTCCCCCCCCAAATCTTTTTAATATTGAATTTGTATGACTTATTATTAATATTATTATTATTATTATATATTATTATATTATTATTATTTGGTCTATTGCCGTTCTGGCCAAAAAGTGTTGCCGTGTTGGTTTTTTGGCCATTTTGGTCATTGCCGTTTTGACTTATTACTGTTTTGGTTTATTGCCGTTTTGTCCAGAAACCGCCTGTAGTAACTGTCACAATAATCTCGCTATCTTAATGTATTTTTATTAAATCGCATGTCGAAAGGATGTTTTAATTGTTAATAATAATCCTTTATACCATTTTGCAGGAACACAAAAAGATTCTGTTTTACCATCCAGAGAAAGAAAATATTGACACAAAAATAAAAAATGTTGGTCTTAGTGAGGCTGTTGTCAAGTTCACTCAGTAAGTCTAATTGGCAATGCACATCACAATATTGATTATTAATTACATTCTACAGCAGCTCTGTCTTTCTTTGACAAAATAACTGTTTTATACCCATATATATTAATGATATGCCTATATATAGTCAGGATGTGTATCATCATGACCATATATAGGCATTTCACATGATTTTGTCAAATAAAAGTTGATCAATGATAGTCTGGACAGGGCCCCAACAGAGCTTGACATAAAGAGTAGGTTAAAACTGGTGGTAACAAAATGTGTGTCACTTATTATTTTGGAAGAGAAAAATTATTCACCAACCTTAGAAGAGATGCTTATGTAGGCCATAACAAGTACTGTATAACATTATTATGTGATAGCAACAGCAAAAGATAATTAACTTTTCTTTCTTTTAACAGAACATTTTTACCAAGTAAACCGTGCGAGGCACTGCATACTCAAAAATATAGGCAACTTTTCCTGAACGTAGAGAAAAATTTCTGGATGGTTATGGTAATGATATTTGTTAATTAACTGTAAGAGCAAACATTTTTTTTTATGATAGCAAAAACAGTTATTGGGGGGAAATATTCAGGAAATCTGGTCAAGATTGAACACCTAATGACATAATGGCATCATCCAGAGAGAGAGTGTTGTTTTTCCCTGTTGGTATCCGCTTTGATGTGGAAAGAAGTGGATATTCAACCTCTTATCCGAAAGGGGTGGGGGCTCTGGCTATTCAAGTTCAGCTCAAACCATGGTGGGACTGAGGTGTCTGTGGTCCTCCATCTAGCACTAGGCTCACTTGATCAACGAGTCTAGCTACGGGGCTGACCAGAAGCAATGAACAATAACAGAGAATATGGCACTTGATAAAATGTATCATTCACTGATGGATGTATTGATTGATTGAATGCTGATAATATAATTTTTAAATCTGATTCCTAATCTTCTTACACTTCTTTAGACAGTTGTTGTGCCCTTTACGGAGAAACTGGAGGATGGGAAGACATTACGAGAGTACCATCCTGAAGACGTTCAAGACTCGGTCTACCAGGCAGTATTAATGCATGCTTATAAAATGTTCAAGGTAAATAAGATGTTTAATTTATTACCACAGATAAGGTGGGATGCCTACATATTCATTTAAAATTCTGCTGTCTACAACGTACATGTGAATTGTACCTCCGTTACAAATTTACTAAAGGCAAAAACCATTAATGCAATTAATTGAAAAGATTAAAGCCCCTTTCCTGGTAAAATTTTGCTATAAAAAAAAAGTATTTTTTTAGAAAAAGTGCATATACATTACTCAAATTATTATAAACTATGGAAAAATATTGGCATAAATTTTAGTTTTACGCAAAAGGATAAAAAAAATTGAGAAACAGAGACTATTTCTCATAGGAGGTTACCATTTTCTCGACGATTTCTTCGTTACTATGCAGATTCAGATGTCGTAGATCGCATCCGCTGGAATGTTCTCGCTTTGTATATACCTTGTACAGTCAACAAATTGTGCCCTCCCTATGAGGTTAGTTTTTGTACTTCGCATCTCGCACACTGTGGTCTGTCGGGTAGGCTTGATTGTTTAATTGTCAAATTCTCGGTCAATCATTTTTTTAACAAATTTGAAATAATTCCAACGAAATATTATATTTCACAAGTGTCAATGTACTAGCAAAGGAAAATATCATGTCGGCCGTTTTTATGTCTGATAACAGAACCTAAATCGAGGTAAGGCTGGGCCTAGCCTAGCAGCAGTGTTGGATATATTGCTAATGTTACCAGTGCCTACTATATTTCTTTGCAGACCTATCGCATAATCAAACATAAAAAATTCATCCACATTTATTTTTCGTGTGGAACACACACACAAAAAAAATCAAATTTCAGTCTTATTTTACATTTTTTTCCACGTTTAGGAATGTCTAAATTAAGTTAAACTAGCAATTCCGTATTATATTTATAAATCTTGACAACATATATAAAAATCAGAATTTTCTTAACAACTGAAATTTTGCTGGGAATGGGGCTTTAATTTACCAACCAGGAGTATGACCATCAGATAAAATTCAAATGCACCCTGAATATTACTCCCCATTCATGTCATGTTTATGTACTATAAATCATATTGGAGTTATATTTTGATAACCATTTTGGTTTTTGTTTTTTTTTTGGCAGTTATTTATGGGAACAATTCAAGGAATTCTTGAGCGTACAAATGTTGAGCAGTTGAAACATAGATTAGACCATTTCTTCAGTCGGGTAAGATTTTGTAACAGAGTATTCATTCATAATTTCTGGTGCAGAACAAAGTTGTTGAAGAACTTTAATAATATGTTTAGAAGGTCAAAACATGCAGACATGTAAAGATAAATTCAGATAATATGTAAAAAGGCAAAGAAGAGGCCTTTTTTTATCACCTTTTTGGTAACTTGTTTTGGTGATATCACCAAATCTGATCTACACAGGCCAAACTCGAGGAATATGTAAACTACAACTATTTGATACAGGTAATGTGTTTTTACAAATGCAGATATGCATCTATTAAAATAAACGAAACTTATAAACGACATGTTTCGACATGTCCCACGTCATGTTTCGACGTGTCCCACGTCATCATCAGGTAATAACGCTTATGCTACTAAAGGTTTAAATACTACCGGTCAGATGTAAGACGAAACAAGCAAATACTAAGGTAAGTCATGTATATAGAGATCAGGAATACTATGGTAAGTCATGTATATAGTATATAGTCATGTGTATATATAATTTCTTTTTCCAGTGAATAAGAATGGTTCAATGTATTAAAGAACATTAAGGTGCAGAAAAAAAAGAGAAGCTGGCAAGGATGCAAAACTAACATATTTATTTAATTGGCCTAAGTAAGTTAACCATGATAGAGATTTAATATATAAACTTTGAAACTTGATTGATTGATTGATTGTTTGATTGACTGATTGACACATGAACTTGCTTTAAATTTGCTTTGTTTTTCTTTTCGTTTGGCAGTACATTGCAACTATGAGATTGAACCATTCCGATATTTTAGATGTACACGCAGGAATCCAGTTTCTTCCACTTGACAAGAACACATACCTTAGAATACAGTGCTTCATCAACCTCATAGAAGCCAATTTCAGGTAATTTGCTTTGCTACTTAGCTTTTTACTGGAACTGTAATTTGGTGTTTAAAATGCTTCTCATTCAATTTCATGACTGTGTTTCAACTTCTGCAAAACACCAGAATAGTTTTTCTCCACTGCTGCACTGCCTAAACTTTACTTGTTTACTTGATTTATAGAGCATCAACTGTCAAATGTATCAGTAAAGCCCTTGAATATAATTTTACCTTTTTTGACTTAGCTGGAAGTGTCACCGTCTGAAATAGGTTAATTTTATCTAGGAAAGACAAAAGCTTTTGCCCTGTAAATAATGTCTATCAGCTAGCATATTTAATCTTCGAATTATCTGTAATAACTTGTCTTTGTCGCTACTATGCTACATTTCTAAGGTACACTTTTTTTTTACCTGCGCTTCAAAAATTTAACTCCTAATATTTTCTTTTAATGTTTCAGTCGTATCAAACATACTGCTTTCTTGTACAATGATCATTTAGTATGGTAAGTTTTTCAGATCATTGTATTGCAACAACTATTGTGCACACTGAACCATACAGATATTTTTTTTTTTTTGGTTCACCATACTTTCTTGACTAAAAGGCTCCCCTCCCCTGAACACAAAATGGTCAATCTCACCTCAAGTATTTGCAAAAAGAAAAAATGGTGTAAACAAAACTGTGTGTGCAAGGTACAGTTTTGTTTTCCGTGAACAAGCACAAACTGCTTTGTACACCTTAATGGTCTGAACAAGGAATCAAATAACTGATTTTCTGTATTGATGTTTTTATAGGAGTGGGTTGGAGCAAGATGATATGAGGGTTCTGTACAGATACTTATCAACCAATCAATTCCCAACCACCTTGGATACAGAGGTAAGTTACCATAGCAACTTCTCTCATCAACATCATCATCATCATGTTTGTTTGGTTTATTGTTTCTAAAACCTGATATTTTCATTTATTTTAATAAAATAAATTAATGAAATTAAATGCATACCCTTATTTTACAGCTAAAGGAGGCACCGCCCTCTAAGGTTTTCCTTGGTCAGACTGTCTCTTCAACATCACATTATGGAAAGTAAGTGTTTTTAGTACCATAGCTTTATTGCCTGTGCTTAGAAAATTTTAAAAGTTTGCTTATTTCAAACAAGCTTTGTCTACAATAGCCTGGTTCTCACGAGAGCCCTAGTATCCGGATCGGGAGCTAACCGTTAGCACCTGCGTGAGAACGCCCGATCGGTTAGCGCTAACCGTTAGCGGTATCCTGATATGCTAATGGTTAGCAAGTGCTATCGGTTAGCAGGTTGAGGGGGTTTCTATCATCAACCAATCACATGTACGCGTTTACAATTTCCAGTGATTCAATCATCATATTGTTGGTATCCGGATCGGGATTTTCTCGCATGGACGCACAGCAGCTAACGGTTAGCAGGATTCGGATACTGCTAGCCGTTAGCTGCTGTGTGAGAACATAGCCACTGTCAAATTGTAAGTGACAAATAACAGATACGCCCATATTTGGGTTGAAAATGATATGATCATGCCTATTTGTCACACAAATTTGTCACCAAAAATTGGATTGTGTTGACAGAGCTTTAGAATTTGCAAGACCTAATTGGTACCTCAATTGGCTTATCATCCCAGGGGGTTCACTAGCATACCAACCTTACGGGGGTGTGCAGCAGCCACTCCAAGACATGAGACACTTGCGCTACCTATTCTACTGAAAATGATTAGGAACTTAAACTACCATTTACCAAAATCCAGTATCGGTTGAACTACTACTATGACCATGTAATCTAACAAATTCAACTTGTTCTGGTTCCTGATGCGAATAAGACCTTAGATATGTCTATTCGCGATCTCTACTGTAGGTTTGGCATGGAGTTTTTAGCAAAAAACTTTGCTAAATCGTGTGAAAAATTATACTGCTTTGATCATACGGGATACATGCTGAAACCATAAATTCCCATACTTGTGCTACCAAGTCCTCAAAAATACCCCCGTAAAAACGCGGCACCTACTCGTATAGAAATAATTAGGAGTGAGCCACCGGGCTTATCATAATATAGTCTTATATACTGTAACTCTTATGTTTTTGCTAGTGATTAGCAAGCTCAAGAATTTCATTGTATGACAATAAAGTTAGTATTAATGTATTTTAGGTATGTTACTGGACCACCAGATCTTTCAGACGAAACAAATATAGGAAGAATTCCGAAAATATACGTCAACACAAATTCAGAAACAGAGGAACTGCACTTAGTCATATATAGAGTAAGTTGAAGAGGTAGGAAGTGGAAGAATATAGAGCACCAGAGAGGAAGAATCATAATCCATTAGGGTTATTGAATTGGCTTTTTTGAGTCTGACCCTGAGACATACAGATTGTGGAACGATCCCCTTCTAGGTCACACACAGTGTGAATATATTCTCGGCTTATTGTACCCAGATAAGGGTGTGGGAAGTGATTCTTAGCCTGGTGGACCCGTTGTGTTAACCTCTGTCCACTGTCCACACTATCAAATTTTATGCAAAAAAATTGTGAGATTGGGCATGAATATGCATGATGTCATATTACATCCAAATATGGGCATATAGCATGTATTTGTCATCATTTGTGGATAGGTTTAATAATGCCTCTTTCAATTTAAATTATATTTACTAAAATAGTGTATATACATATAATACCTTAGATATTTGTTAAAAATTATATATTTTTTATTGTTATATTGTGAAAGAAATAAATGTTGATTTGATTTGATTTGAGGTCTTAAGAGAGTCTTATGAAATATTAGCCTTGAGCACCAGACTGTGGTAGAAATGGGACAAATGCTATCTTTATCATTGCCAATATTATAGCTTTTGACTATTTAATATTTATTATTGTTTTTTTTTTATTCAGGCTTTGAGTGCAACTGTGTGTCTAATGGTTGAAGGTAATTTTTTATTATTTTATAGTAATACTTAATACTTATATTTATGTTTAATCGCTTAGCTTCAAAACACATTTCTGTTATATTTATGTACTGTATAATAGACTGAATAAAATGAATTTGAATTTAGTAATAAATCTGATATCAATTAGTTGTTGGATTGTACCTCTAACTTGATGGTCGTGATACTTGGCTTAAGCTATACCACTCCTTTTTACCACCAAGTAACAGTGTCCACTTCTCATCAAACCTCAGTTTCACTAGTTGCTAAGCCATCAATCCTACACTACAAAGCTTGTGTTTCCCTCCAATGAGAGCCCCCACTCCCTACCAAGCCACAGCTCATGCTTTTCACAAAGACACAACTTCTACTCTTCATATGACCCCACAAATTTCAAAGCCATAGCATCTACACCTTAGCCAGCCACATATCTTGTTGTGCATCCAGTTACAAATGCACCTTTCTGGTGTGTCAGTCAAACTTAACAACTGACCAATCAGAACAGGTCCTGGAGTATGCATGTGTACACTGTCATTTTGTGGGACATTAGCAACGATATCCAAGGGGCAGGGCTTAGCAAAAATGTCCATTGAAACTCCTCAATGAGTCACAGCTTCCACTCCCTACTAAGTCACAACATTGATTGATCGATCGATTGATTGATTGAGCATAATTCTTTGCCTCACCTAATTCTGATATCTTGAAGTATCACCTGCAGTTACACCCTGTAAAGCTTCATTCAAACCTAATCCGAATTCGGTTCGTATGGCTAACGAAACGAAAAAAGAACATCGAATCAGTGGTATAGAATAGAGGCGCGTACTAAGACGCGCATCGAAAACGTTCTATGAACCAAATTTGGATTAGGTGTGAATGCAGCTTAACTCAAGGGTATTAAACAAATGGCTGTCAATCTCCAGGCCTATCTGCTTCTTTATGTTGCACGTTTTATTTGTAATTTATCTAGAAATAAATATCAAGAACATGAAGTGAAACATAATATATATCTTATTTTTATCTTTAGCTTCAACACTGCCTAGTTTCAACTGGTTCAAGGAGATTGATAATTTCATCGGCCCACAACTCACAAAATTAGCATCAGATATTAGTGAACAGCATGCCAGCCGAAAATCACCAAGGTAGGAAACAAACCGCATTTTGTTATTAAAGGAGTTTTTGTAGATTATTTTTTTATACAACATAAAATGCAGTTGAACTTGCCTAAGTCGAATCCAAAATGCCATTGAAAAATTGTTCGACTTAGATAAAATTTGACTTACAGATTGTTAATTAATGGAAAACACAACAATTTGGCATGTAAAATAAATTTGACTGAAAAATTATTTGAGTTCAGCAAAGTCGACGTAGGAAAGTTTAACTGTATTACAAATATATAATATCAAAATATTAAACATAAGAAATATTACAAACCGAATCCCAAACTATCATTCTAGGATATTCTTTCTTCTGTACCAAGCAGAATATGTGGAGTTGAATAGCTCAGTAGTTAAGATGCCTGCCTTCTGATCCCAGGGTCCTGGGTTCAATTCTTGTCACAGCAGGACTTTTTCTTACGACTAAAATCAACTCCACTCCCTAAGCCTCTTAAAGAGACTTAGTTTATAAAGCATCATTCTCATCCTGTAAGTGGTGAGTGTACTTGCTGTTGGATGTGAAGAAAATAAAATAAGATATACTAACTCAATTTATATTCAGCAACTTAAGGAGTTACAATAAATTCAAATGGGTAAGTAATAATTAAAATGTATCTTTATAAATAAAAGTTCTTCATAAGTATTTTTTGGAAAACCTCAATAATATTTATTTATGATTTAACAAAGAATTTAAACCAACAGTAAGAATTATTAATGTAAAGCATAATAAACAATTTTCTCTACCTCAATCTTGCTTCATTCTTAAACAAAGTCGGAACTTCAGTCTCACACCAGTTAGAAGGTGAGGGTGTGTTGTGCAATAAAGGGAACACCTGATATCAGCATGCCTCTGACTACCTTTACTGTGTCTGCGTGTACCACTTAATTTATAATGTGAATTGTTGTATTGAGTATAGAGTACTACAGTGTTACGTCACGATACCGTGTGATTCTACTCCGTTGCTATCATTGCAAAAAGACTTCAGCCGGGCGCCATTTTCTCCACCGGCAAACCATTGATCCAAATTTCTAACGTAATTATCAAGATGTTTTAATTGATGATTATAATGTGTGTTCGATAACTAATATAATGCAAGCTTTTGTGTTTTTAGTACATTTTGATGGTAAAATATTAGATTTTAAAATGCCTATTCCAGAAAGCCTATTAAGTCATTCAGGTGTAATGAACGGTAACCAACGTCTGTCGACAACAGAGAGCGCTACCTGGCGTCGTAACGACACAACTGTGGTACTCTATATTGTATGTACTTCCCCCCCTGTCTGCATCTATAGGCCTAGTCTTTTCTTTGCAATGTTGTATTATACTATATATGAATACTCAGTATATTTCTGATCAGCAATCACGTATATAAGTATTTGTATTCTTAGTTTAAAAGTTGTTCTATTTTATAATTATATATTTTTTTTGTTAGTACAACTCAGCTTTTGTGTATTAAAAGTAATGTATATAAATGTATATATAAATAGGTTGTTTGTTTTGTATATAACACCCTGAATGCCTGGTTGGAATATGCCTGTGAATATGTTGTATAATCTGAACATGCTTTGTGAATGTACGTATGCAATCTTGTTCAAATGACAAAGAACATAGTGTGATGCATTACATCTTAAACATGCTACTGATAATAAAAAAAATAAGTGGTGCCTAGAGGTACAGTATGTACTGTACCATACTGTGTGCAGTGGACGCGAGCAAAAATAGTTTTTCTTTATTTTTTTTTGTTTTATTTATTTTTTTATTATTTTTTTGGCATGCTGTATTATACAGACCGCGGGCACCGCTTGCGACGCTGGCTAACTGCTACAATCGGTACTGCAGTTAATTTACCAATATATTTAAATGACGTAATACCTGTCTCTTATACACATCTAGATGTGTATAAGAGACAGATAAGAGACTGTTCTGGCGTGCAGTAACCAGTGATACTCAACTTGCTGCTCATATTAGTGATTCAATAAACAAGAACTTCTCACTACTCCCCAATGATTGTAAAGCGTACACCAACTTTATTATCATTACCAATAAAGTTGGAAATGAACTTCTACCACCCAAACTGGCCTGAGCTCCAGGAACAGTTGACTGTGCTCCGGTAGTTGCAGTTCGCAGAGCAACCCTGTGGGCTAGTACAAAAATGTCCAAGCGAATCAGATAAACCGCCACAGGACAATCAACAAATGTGAAGATGATCATTTAAACAACTTTCTCTCTTCATTTGAAAGTGCTAAACAATCAACAGAGACCAGGACTGCATGGAAAGAGCTGTCGGGAAAGAATACAAAAGGTACTGTTTTTGTTACCAGAGCAGATCGTCTTCAGACATGGAAAATTCGCTTCAAAAATCTTCTCAATGCCGATCCAGAACATCCCGTAGATGACACTCCCATTCAAAAGGTTTTCGAGACCCATCATGATGTAAAGTGTGACATATTCTCCACAGACGAAATAGATACAACACTCTAACACCAATAAAACTCTGTATGCCAACCTTCCACCAATAACCACTATAATACTTCGTCGTCGCCTGGCCTTGGTGGGACATGTGATGGGGCATTACCAAGCCGCTGGTCATGTCCTACTTTGGACACCTGTCGCCAATTCGTCGGGTAGGAGTCAGGACGTCCCAATATTACCTTAAAGAAAATCATTGAGGCTGAAACATCACTTTCACCATTTGAGCTCATATCTACTATGAGAGATAACGAAAACTGGAGGAAGAATATTGTGAATGCTTCACCAGTTCTGTAGGGATTGGAAGACCTAAGCAATGCCAGATGTATATATGGCTGTGTCTAGATGTATATATGGCTGGGTATAGATATGTGGCTGTGTCTAGATTTAAATATGGCTGAGGCTGGATGTACAGTATATAGCCCAATAATGCATATCCGCCAATCAATACACAGAAAGAGATCAGAGTGTTTATATTGGAAACATGCATAGAATGATACATTCGGCATGACTAAAACCACCACTATAACCATAACATTGTTTATATATATTTTTTTTTTTTACAGAGGAAGTGAAGAGACTTTGTCATGCACAATTTGGCAACATATTCTTCCTTGATTGATGATCATCGAATACAAGAATCTGCTATCTCAGATAATTTTGGTTGTGCAAGTAACAAGAAATGGCATGTGCCATTTTTGGCATGAGTGGTACTTTATACAAATTAAAGGACCACCTTGAAATGCAAATAAAGTCATTCAGCAGGCCTGTTGAAAAAGAGGGTTGCTATCATTTGGCCAACCCTTTTCAACTGAACCCCCTCTGATAAGACAGACTACCCACCACCCTTTGCATCAGAGACCCTAAAATAATCAATATTCTATTTATATGCTAGAATGCTTTACTCCAGGGGCTTCTCCTAAGCCCCGCCGGGGTACTTAGGTGCTCCCTAGACATGTAGCTCATAGGAACAACCACCCTCCTTAAGGAATTCTGGTTACGGGCCTGTGTAGGCCTTTTATTGTATCTGAAAATAATAATATTTAATTAGTATTAATAATATTTGGTGGATGGAAATATTGGACATGTATTAAGTAATTTATTATTGTATTTTGGTACTCAGGTACTTATACTAATTTTCTTTAGAGAATATATAAGTTTGTGGTCTCAAATATAAAATACACATTCAAAATAGAACTGTTGGTTAAGATTCCGGGGTTCAAATCCCAGGGGCGGATCCAGAGATGACCAAAAGGGGGAGGCGATTGAGAGACATTACAATAGGGGTCCCCACTTAATTGTTTTTTCGTCTGGAAATACTGTAACTTTTGAGGCAATCAATAATTTCTTCTTTTTTAATTTCTTTTTTGACTTTCCAAAAAGTGGGGGAAGTACCGGCTTGGCACCCCCCCTCCCCTCCCCTGAATCCTACAGTATACCAAGAATTTCCAAGCTGGATACACTGAAGGCTTACTCGGACAGCGCCATATGATGCAGCCGGATACAATTTGTTGTCGCTCTGGGTCTGTGAGAGTTAAACGCTGACATGTTAGGTCTGCTTCGGGGATAGTCGCATTGTAGAATATTTTTTATATTCTCATCATGATGACATAAAGAATGTTGCTGGCAATAAATCGCATAGGGCTGCCTCGTACAGTGCTGTCTTAATGACCTTAATAGGGAGATTAGATCAGCAACCAAAGGCTAATTATCCAGTGGTATGACTCAACAAATGAATATGAATAGTCATTTAAATTTGTGAATACACGGTTAGTGGTAGTGCCAGTGGAAGGACCCCCTCCTACTTTTTTCAGCGGGGGTTGTGGCTCAGCATTGTTGGAGAACAAGAAATTCTATGTAATTTTTACAGAATACAAGACCTTAAATTCAATTGGAAAAGCCCTTCAAAGTTAGCTCTTTGAATTACTGTAGTCAAAATTAGTCAATTATCCCATATGACCAAATTTCATAAATGAAATGCTTTTGTTTGAAATATGTCAAAAAGGGAATGATCATGAGGGTGCTGAGGTTGTTTTATTGTCAATGATGATTTGACCAATGAGACAAAAGTGCTTTAAACATGTTGACTTCAGGTGATTTATAAATCTGTAAATTTTCATTTCTTAAATTATTAAATACTGGTCACTGCAGTAAAAGATAATAATTAAAATATCCACTGTTGATTGAAGATTGTACTTATTGTATAGAACATATATCAATGATGCAAGTAATTGATATTATTTTGTGTAAATATTTATAAATGCATATGTTATTGTGCAATAATCATCTGTTAATGATGTTATTACTGTACATGTTTATGAAACTGGTAAAAAATAAATCACACTGTTAAAGAAGTTAATTTGGAAATTAAAAATACATAATAAAATTATCATATCAGTAGTAGAAATTCATTGTTTACAAAGGAAATATCAGTCTACACTAATGTCGCAATATAAATACTTTGTATGTGGGGGTCAGATATGTGGAGATTGCAGGAGAATGATAGAGTTGTGTTAGGCAAGACTTTTTTATACCTTGTTTCGCAAACTTATTTTTTTAAAGATCGTTAGAGGACGAAAACAAATTAAAATTATCTTATTATTTTGCCAAAAACATCCAGATGGAGGAGAAAATAAAAATTTATTGGTGAATGAAAACAATGTAGTTAAATGGGATGGTTAAATGCTTTAAATTTATATATTTAGGAAGAAATATACTCCCTATCTTGAGGTGCAAGGTTGTAGGTGGGTGATAGACATTAAGGAGCGTTCGATTGCACGATGATAATATAGGACGTAGAACGTAATGATGTCACTAAAAGTCCATGTGAGAACGTTAAGGCGACTTGGAACGCAATTTGGCCAAACCTACGTATGCAGAGAACGTAGGACGGCAGGTAGGACGATCACGCATGAGTGATTCCGTTCTAGCGTCACTTCGTCGCACATATCGAAAGCTCCCTAGTAAGTGTGTGTATTGCATTAGATTGGATTTATTCGGTGTAAACACCAAGGATAGTTCACGAAGGCCTAGAAGAAGATTTATATCCAGTGGGGTCCTTCTGGTGGTAATTGGGCAGTACACCGGCAGACAATCCCCTACTCTTTTCCGAAGAGTGTACAGTACTGTGTTCTTTAATGTGCACATGGGCCATAAATACACACGGGACCAACGGCTTAAACATCTCATCCTAAAGACGGTGTGCTATTATAACTTTCATTTTAGCCCTCAAGTTTAAACACAAGGAGAGGCAGTGATGGGAATTGAACTGGGGACCTAGAGATCTCCACGGTTCAGTGCACACACAGCGGCTACCACCAGATTAGATGACTGCTCTCTTGGTAGGTGCTCTCAAGCTACAGTAGGTCTCTGGGTAGGTGATAACATTAATAAACTCTAAATAATAAGAGTGGATTTTAAGGAGGAAGAAGTGGGTTAATAAGGGTGTGTGGAGGGCCATGAAATTGGCTTTAGACTGGGTGGAAACCCACCACATCTACATCTCTGAGGGTGTCGGATGGTGAATGTGGAATTCAAAACTGTGGAAAGAGAAGTTGACATGCAACTGATAATACATTAAAGCACAAAAAACATTGTTCCTTTTACGAAATTTAATGCATATGTCGCGTTAACAGCTACAGTATCTCTTCTTAATATTCTCTCTTGAGTGTATGAAAGTGTTACTTGACTGTTATAAAAGTGTTACACTGCTAGTTGAATATTGTTTTGGCCACATTGAAGTTGCGTAGCTTCATCGACAACATCCGATGGTTATAGACGATCACTACTCAATTTACGTTTATTGCTTCACGTCTCGTCATGGGAGTGCAAGTACACTGGCTTTGAAATTCGTCGCAATCTGTCTTGAGCTTTCTTGCCTTTGCTGACTGACAGTGGTAAGCCCTGATGTGGAATGTTTACCTATAAAAGGAAAAAAAAAACTTGTTTACGTTAACGTATTGCACACCTAACTATTTATATTTTTTTCTCGACCAACGTATCCCTACACGTACAACACGTTTCTCTTCATCTGTACATTTCATTATACCAAGTTACAACAACAGAATTGGGAGGTTTTTCATTTCTTTGTTATGCTTCTAAACTTTGGAATAATCTTCCAACTGACATTAGAGATATCTCAGATCCTAATCTTTTTAAACATGCACTCAAGACTTACTTGTTTGCCTAAGCCACTGTTTTGCTGCTCTTTCCGTTTGTGTTTTATCGTTGTAATCTGTTTATTTGTCTTTGTTGTTTGTGTGACTGTACTATTGTGATGCATGGGGTTCCTGAATAATGACTGATTTTATGCCTACCATCGTTTTCCTGAATTATACTGAGGCTTGTGCTTCATAACTGCAAGGGAAAGGCGCAATATAAATACCCAGTGCCACAGTACATCCTGCAAAGGACCAAAGGTCCATAAACGCAGGGTAACAGGGGCTATATGGATCGGTACAAGGCCGGGTATCCCCTACTCGTCTCAAATGATGTACTGGGTTCTTTATAGTGCAAAATGAGCCAATATTGTATACCCTGGGCCTACAGTTTATAATCCTTTCCGAGAAGACTTGTTCCACTACTAGAACCAAAGGCGAGTGTGCTATTTCAACCAGCGCCGATATTATGGCTGTAGCTAGGTTTTGGCGAACCTGCCTTAACCACTCGGCCATTCTACTCTGTGCACTTGAAAATGGTCTGTCTTCAGTGCACTTGAAAATGGTCTATGTGAAGGGGAACAATTAAGAATAGTATGGGGAGGGATAAGTGCTACATCACATGAAGTGGTCAACTAGTGTTAATAGAAAATGAAGTGAAAGAGGTTAATGAATGTGAGCCTGCAAAAAATACATGAATATAAAATTGGTAATTCTTAACATCATTTCTCATTCACTACCTATTCTCATTTGACCAGAAAAATTCAAATTCAAAGTAATAATAAAGTAGACGAAAAATAAAGTAGAATAAAATCTTACCGGTCTAGGAAATGGTGTACCGTAGTGTAGAGCTGGAAGTATAAAGAGATAAAGAAAGCTTCAAATTCCAAAAAACTTTAGACATACAATACAGCCATATAACATATAAAGATGAATATCTTTTTATATTTTTAGAAGCTAAAACTTCCTCACCAATTAATGATCATTTAAATACCTTCATAGTCTTACCATTAAATTTCTATCAGCATTTGGTTTTTTTAGGTGGCAGTATCATTATGCAAATTATAGAAATATTAACTTTTAATAAGAACAAATGGCATTAATACACATACATTCCATCTGTAGTGTTAGTATTTAAGGAGACCAAAGCGGTCCAACAGGGGATCTTAGAATTTCTGATGGAGAATCATGCAACAAGGGCTTCAATCAAGGTCCAAGGACATAGCACCTCATCCCCAGCCCCACCACTTGTGCTGCCATGCCATAAGCATGATTTATTAAAAAAATGATTGATAACTACACAACATTAAAAAAAATGATGATACCCATTTCCAGGCGAGTCTCAGCTTCTTGCGTACATAACCTGATCTCTTCTCCTGTCACCTGAAAAAATAAAAGATTTTAAATTTAATTTTTTTAAAAGTGTGTATATTTTTCCCTCAGACAATTATATAATTTGCCTTGATTACCTTTCTTGGTGTGTGCCCTCAGTCATTGACGGAATTATGTGTACAGTATAAATAAATAGGCATTCTACCGGCTAAATATCCATAACATTAAAAAAAAAAAAAATGTCAAATCTCAAACTATTAAGCCTAATCATGCTTAGTGCAAATTTTAGTAAGGAATACATGATTGTACTTCTGTAGGCTTAAGTCCAGTTAAAGGTATACAAGATTCAGCAGGGAGGTGCTGCCAAGAACTTACTCCCTTGTTCTTTCTAAACAGGGTCCTTGTTTCATCCCTTATGTAATTTCGTTCAGCAAATGTATCTTGTTTGTTTCCTGTGCTCGCTTTCCAGGTCATCGAAATTCTCAAAAGCTGGCGGTACAATGATAGCACTTTCGATCTGTTCATATTTAGATAGTTTATCTAGGAGCCTATGTCTTAAATTCACTACTTAGGATAATATAAAACAGTAGGCCTACATACAAAACCAATACTACGTTGTGTCTAATGTTTTGATGACATTTTGGACTGTACCATTTTAGAATGTGCTTTAAGTTTAAAGGTTAAAGTTCGCATAGGCCTAGGCCTAGTTTATTTTTGTGTGTGGGAAAGTTTTGGTGAAGTTTACGGTAGTTCGATTTTGTTTTACGACGAAACTATGATACTAAATTCTAATATTTATCAGGTATTTTTAGCAAGATAGGTATATGCACAATATGTCTACACCGCCGTTCCCAAGTCGTTGTCAGCGACCAGTTGTAGGACATCAGGTAGGTCAGGTTGTAGATTTTGCTAGGCTAGGCCTAGCTAGGCCTATTTGGCTGAAAAAGAAATCACGAATTGCAAGCAATTGTGTTATTCGATGATGCGGAGCAAATGCGCTCACTAGTGGCCATATTGGGTGGAGATATGTCTACCTGGGGCCTAGGCCTTAAGTCGAGGGTGTGATATGACATCATCATGCCAATATTGTATATGGGTGTGATATGACAAGATGTGTATAAGAGACAGGATATGGATGATGGAAAAATTAAGGGTGTCCTGCAAAAGGCATTCCTCAGTGTTGAACACCAGTCAAATGAGGCCATTGATGAGGCTCTGGCCGATAGGATAAGTGTTAAATTTCAGTTGCCAGAGGTACGTGTAACATCAATTAATGACGTATGTTCTGTGAAATATAACATAAAAATCATTAGCTGGAGCATTAGTGCGTTTGAAAAAAATGTTTTTATTCTTAATAATATTTATTACATATATTCTTAAAATGATACAAAACATTTCCAGTTTTAGAATGGATAATGATTAAAATTAGAGAGAGCAGCTTAGCTCAGTCGGTTAATCTGGTGGTAGCCACTGTGTGCGCTGAACCGTGAAGATCTCTAGGTCCCCGGTTCAATTCCCATCGCTGCGTCTCCTTATGTTTCAGGTAGAGGGCTGAAATACAAGTTACATAGCGCACCGTCTTTCGGATGAGACGTTTAAGCCGTTGGTCCCCTGTGCATTTATGGCCCATGTGCACGTTAAATAACGCAGTACACTCTTCAAAAAGAGTAGGGGGCTGTCTCCCGGTGTACTCCCCAATCAACACCAGAAGGACCCCACTGGAAATAAGTCTTCTAGAATATAAAACAATAAACAATAAACTGTGTTTGTTATACCAAAAAATCTAAGATTTGATTTGTTTAATTTTCTGTGGAATTTAATTTTATGACTTAACCACCTTGAAGGTTATTTCCTCTTCACTTGCCTGATTTTAGAGTGAAAGTGATAAGAAATATTATATTTTTCTTATATAGGGTCTCAAAGATTATGAATTAATCAACCAGTATCCAGATTTGGTTACCCGGTTGCAGCATCTTGATTCCCAGATTGCAGGAGGCACTACTGCTGTGGTTTGCCTCATCCATAAGGAGAAGCTATACCTGGGAAATGTTGGTGAGTCTTTACCCTGCTATTTTATCTTTTTCCTAGAGGCTCAAGGATTAAAGTTCATTTTATTAGTCATATGGAGAAAATATTTCTCCATGGTCAGTAGAGAACATGGTCCTGATGATGACATAATTAATGTCGAAATATTGAATCCCAACACGATGGCGTGTATTTCAATACTTGGAGTATGTATTATACTTTCTTATCTGAGATTAATCAGTGGACCTTTCGGTTTCAGTAGAGAATACAATACATGAAAATAAATGAAATTTGAAATTACATGTGGGTATGATTATGTCATGTCACATCTACATAATATGACATTATCATGCCCACGTAGGCAGATCACATTATTTTCTTTTGTATAAAATTTGATAGGAAAGGGTCAGAAGAGGAAATTGTTCCCCCCCCCCCACACACACACCTGTCGAGCAGGTCTGAAACCCCATTGTCCAACTAAAAATATTATTAGACCTTTTCAAATGATATTATTTTGATTGCCAATCCCTAATATTGTGGTTTAAAAGCAAAATTTTGGGCCGTACTATGTCATTAAAAACTTTTTTTCAATGAACCCAACTCATGATTTTATTCTGGGACCCTGACCGAGGCTGTTGTTGGCCCCTTAGTTCGGAACCCCCTGTCAGATTGGTCGAACCACCTGTTGGCAAGTTTCTAGAAGCACCACTGCATGTGTTCAGGTAACTAATCTCAGATCTACAACTTCACCTATTTTTCAGGAGACTCAAGGGCACTTTTAGTGACACGTGTCAACGGTAAACTGAATGTAAAGCAAATTAGCACAGACCACAATACTTCCAACGAAGACGAGTTGCTACGACTAAAACAGCTCGGACTTGATACTCAAAAATTGAGCAAAGGCAGGCAGCTTGGAGGCCATGAAAACACTCGCAGTTTAGGTGATTACTTCATGAAAGGTGGCTACAAGGAATTTGATATTTTAAGGTAAGAAGATTCAACTATCAGCAGTGGATGAAAGTTAAATGAAAATTGACTGTCTGTCTTTAAAATTAAAATTTGAGAGATGCTTCTGTGTTATTAAAGCTCAGTTGAAACTGAAAAATTACTGCTTTCCTCATACCTGTATATTGGTGTGATATGACATCATCATGCCCATAATATGTGGGTGTGATATGATATTATCATGCCAATACTGTATATCATCATCATAACCATACTGTACATGGGTGTGGTATGACATCTTATCCCCATATATGGTGACATCATCATACCTGTACTGTATATAGGTGTGATATGACATCATCATGCCCATATTGTACATGGGTGTGGTATGACATCATTATCCCATATGAGGCATGTTGTGGCAAAATGGCTAAGTTGTAGCAAAATTTGAAATTCAAGTTATTGGTATTTTCATATACCTGAGTATGTTATCTTTAAAATGACGGGTCATTCATTAAAATTGGACTTTTCAAGCCTAAGTTATTGAAAAGCGAAAATACGGCACTCTTAGAGTCAAGATAAACATGATTTTGAGTAATTGCCTTCCAAAGTTATTTGTTCATACATTGTTTAATAGAATTAACTATCTAAATACATTAAATAAACAATTTGTTGACCACTTCCAGAACTAATACTTTGGAACATGATTAATAAGACATTAAACTGTTGATCTATAGTGAAAAAAAAAATCGGATTTTTAGGCAATTTTTTGAGCTCCCATATTTTATAGCTCATTTACTCAATACTGGCCTGTGCGACAACTTAACCATTTCGCCACGACATGCCTCATATATGGTGACATCATCATACCCATACTATATATGGGTGTGATATGACATCATCATGCCAATACTCTATGTGGGTGTGATATGACATCATCATGCCCATACTGTACATGGGTGTGGTATGACATCATTATCCCCATATATGGTGACATCATCATACCCATATTGTATATGGGTGTGATATGACATCATCATGCCAATATTGTATATGGGTGTGATATGACATCTTCATGCCCATACTGTACATGGGTGTGGTGTGACATCATTATCCCCATATGTGGTGACATCATCATACCCATACTGTATATGGGTGTGATATGACATCATCATGCCCATACTGTACATGGGTGTGGTATGACATCATTATCCGTCCCCATATGACATCATCTAACCCATATGTGAGCAAATTACACACATTATTTGTCACATAAAACCTGGTAGTGTGAATAGAGAAGTAGATTTCTATAGCTAAATTGAGGGTGATGAACCTTGGTGGCATTGTTACATTTAACTCATCTGTTGTTTATAGTATTAACCATTCCAGCATACTTCTACCACACATATTTAAAAATTTAAGTCGCACTCTTTTAAATTGCTTTCAGTATGGCAATTGGAGAACCAGTGATTGCAGAGCCAGATGTAATTGGAGGGATCCCTCTTACCGGTGAATGTGGATTTTTATGTATGTTTACAAATGGACTTTATAAATCTTTAGAAGAAGCTACTGCAACAGCGCACGTCAACCATGATATTGCATATATGGTCGCTGCAGAGTTCAACATCCAATCAACGCTCAGTGGTGTTGCCCAGGGCGTCGTTGACAAAGTCTTGCGTATTCATCATGATACTTATTTACAGAACAATATTAGAGCAAAGTTTTGTGATAAGCGTGATGACATAACGCTCCTAGTGCGCAATTTTAATTTTCCGCTGGGGAATGCCTTGAAGCAGGTAGCAGCAACAAGTAGCTACAGACCAGTAACAGTGCCCTACAACGAGTCAAAAATTCAAGATCATCCACCAACCTTGTACATACCGTCGCCAGCGCCCCAGCCATCGGATACCACACCTACTCTTATGCCAGCTCCCACGTCACCAGTTTCTTCTTCACCCGTGTCGTCGCCCCAGGCAAGCACGATAGAATCACATGATAGCCTGCCTTCAGATCAGGACCGAAGCTCTTCACCAAGCACGCAGAACACAAATTCGTCTGGTGACAATGATTCAAAATCAAACATGGTTAGTTGCATAATTAACACAATATCTTCAAAAGAGGAGAGCGAAGAGGAGCCAGACGCTGATGGAATGATCAAACCATATGTAGATTTCACAGATTTCATTACAAAATATAATGCAGTTATAGCAAACCTAGAATAATTATGACACTCCATAAATGAACATAGCGTTTTGTTTGTTTTTTTTCAAAACCAAGGATTGGAAAGACACTAAACTTGGAAGTTATACTCTTAAAATTTATGTCAAAGGCATTCTTAGTGATATTTCATCTGCATTTTTTTTTTCTCTGTAAAAAAATTGTTGACTTGGATGGATCTATTAAGTATATTTTGATTGATTGATTAGTACCAAAGAACATAGGAGAATAATTTTGCACAGTTTGCATTAAACTGATGGAACATCCACCCTCCTACAATCGGGGGGCGATGTGATGGAGTGGAGAAACTAGTAGGAAACATAAAAATTTGAGAATGACCATTCTCAATTTCAATCGCGATGTCATTTCTGTCAGTTCTGACAAAAGGTGACATTGTTTCTGGCAGGAGTGTATAGTGGGCATGGCCGCAGGCTGCCCGAACGCTCAGAGAGGCTCCAGTGAGGAGAATCCAATTCAAAAATTTGGAAGCCTTATTTAATCAAATTTAGTCTCATAATCTGTGTAAATTACTTCGGATTTTCTTTTCTCCCTGAAGAATTGTGTTGAACTCCACAATGTGGGGAGTGAGGAGGTGGTAATAGCTCTTCTGAGTGACAGAAGTAGCCCTCCACCAAACAAAAAAGTGTTGTACTGTATGCCCATATATGGTCATGATATGCATATATATGGTCATGTCGTGATGTCATCATGGCCATAATAAGGCATGTCACATGCTTTTGTCAAATAGAATTTGATAGTATGGACAGGTCTTTACAAATGCTTCAGTATTTCTAGGTATGTCTTACATTTGCATATCCCAAGCAAGTCTACACATATTCTTAGTGTGCTATCCTCCTTCCAGTGAAGGACCTTTGCATTGGTGTATCTAGGAGTTTTGAAATTTGGGGGGGGGGGAGGCGAAGGTGAAAGTGAGGATCGATAATTAGGTGAGGAGATGCCAGCTCATAAAATAAATTGATTTGTAATGATTTTTAACTACTTCAGCATGGTGTTTCTTGGGGTATGAATGGGGGAGGGTGAGTATTTTGTTGGGGGATGTGCCACCCCCTACCCACCCTTAGATATGCCACTGTACCCTTGATGCTCTACAATCGAGTCTCTTTACAAGCTCTACCATTTGGGACCCCTCTTGTAACTAATCTTGTTTAGTAGAGAACAAATCAAAATTAGGATTTTAGGGGTCATATTTGACAAACATCTTGACTTCAGCAACCATATATCATCTGTATGCCGATCGGGTTACTTTCATCTTCGCTGTATCCGTTCCATTAGACCTTACATTTCATCTTCTGCTGCTGCTTCTCTTGTTCATGCTTTTATTTTATCCAAACTTGACTTTTGCAATGCATTGCTCAATGGTTTACCTGCTATTAGCATTAGACACCTTCAGAAACTTCAGAACTCTGCTGCTCGTGTTGTAACATTGTCTAAAAGGTTCACCCACATTACGCCAATTTTAAACATTCTTCACTGGCTTCCATCGAATCATTTTTAAAATTCTTCTTCTCACCCAAAAATCTCTCCATGGTCGTGCCCCACTTTATCTCTGTTCGCTTATTGACAAACTGGTTTCTTCCCGTTTTACTCGTTCTTCTCAATCCCTCAAACTTGTTACTCCACGAGTCAAGCATATTCGTACCGGTGAACGCTCTTTTTTTTTCTCTGCTCCTAAACTCTGGAACTCTCTGCCTCCTCAATTACGTATCATTTCTGATCTGCAATTATTCAAATCTACTCTTAAATCCTTCCTCTTCAAATAGTTCAACTTCTTTCTAACATCCTCCAGTGCCGGTGACAAGCCAGTTTTGTTTGCTTTAATAGGCGCTTTAAAAATGTGTATTATTATCATTATTATTATTATTATCTCCTTGTTCTTATAAATATAGTAATGCTGGGGAGTAGAGATGTAGATGTATACATATTCTATTCAATTAAAAAAATAACAATTCTAAACAAGGATTTAAAAGTTGGTATATTTATTATTTGGGACCCTTTATATTCCATATAACCAAGTCTTTTTGCTATGGTGTTTAAACAGTGGAGAGCTGATCAATTGTGATGCTCTGTAACAAAGTTTCTTATTGGCAGAGAGCTGATAATTTGGAATCACTAGGCTGGGAGAGTACTGTAGATTATAATTGGTGATTAAAAAAAACCAACCCTTGATATGAGTGTAATGTGGTTAATGTAATTAGGAGAGGGAGACATTATGTGAGCTACTGTACAGGTACCACCAAACTTCATCTTTATTTTATGTAGTTAAATTGGATGAAAGTGTCTATTGATGGTTTCTATGATCTTCGGGTATCTTAACCATTAAATTATTAAGATTATTTGCAAAACTATTTGTGTATTTAACATTTTGTTTGTGTACTGTATCATAACACACAGCTTGATTGATTTTTTAATGGATAGCAGAAACAGCTATGATTGCTGATTGCAGTTTTGTGGCTCCCTTATAACGGTTTAGGCTATGCACCAATGGGTCAGACACATCTGTGGTAGCACCAAGATTGGTTTGGGATGGGAGAGGGGGATGATCCTCGAAGAAAACGTAAATGGGCGTAGTGAGGTGGTTCACAGAAACCCTCATTTAGGGGTTTGAAAGACTTATTTAATCGAATTTGAAGCCTACCAATTTGTCAAAATTACATATTTCTTCAATGTCTCGCCAACAAAGTGTGCAATTTCGTAACGCCTGTTAGGTCTTTGGGGGAGGGGACCACCCTGTGACTACTACTTTACATACTACAGAGCCCTTAACATTAGAGGTGTAATGCCTGTGTGCTTTTCTGGGGCCTCTTCTACTGCTGTACTACCGTTAAGATCGATGGTTGTTTGATTCGGATTGGCCTTATCAGGGCCACTGACAGCGAACTTGGCCCGAGGGCAGCGACCTCAAGAGCGGGGTCTGGAGGCGGCGGATTCGCCTAGGCATCCAGCAGGATCCAGGGGTAAATCCTCTGTTGGGGGTTCAGGGGAGAGAAGCTCCGACATCTTATGTAATTAGATGCTGCCTAATTCGGACGATTAGAGACAGTAACCGAGAGTAGAATGTCTCCATCTTGAAAAAATCTTTTATGAAAATAGAATATGAATTCAGTCAGTCAATGTCATCCAAGAAATATAATTAAACCAACGACAAACGATAAAAATTGTTAAAAGTTAACGAACGAAAGTACAGTATTATTGATTTTAATTTTTTGACAAAAGCATGCATGTCCTATCTCCAAATTTGAGACCACCTTGGGATCTAAAAATTTGGAGTGAACGCATGACTAAATCAAATTAGATCTTGGTGTTAAAATATTGAAGATTATTATTTAGTTCATCTTTGGAAAATGGTTTCGCCAATTAGGGGTCTAAAATCGGAAAGCGGTATATATCTGATCATGACAAACATTTTCTTAGTGTATAAGGTACTAGATAGTTACTACATGAATTGACTATGATTGTCGTTTTTCTCAAATAAATTCATTTTTAATTGTTTTGTCCAGGGCCACTGACCACCACCCCCCCCCCCACAACTTCTCGGCGGTAGTGGTCTCTATCATCGTATCTTGTTTAAAAGCAACAAATAGTGATATCTACTTAAACTGTCCTCTTGATGATGACTACTAAAGTCGAAACGTTGAGTAAATCTCCTCACTTTTTTCTATATTGTGTCGCTTTTGTTTTATTTTATTTGAACATAGTCAGTGCACCCTTTCGTTAAACCATCTTTATATTAGTATTTTCAAAGAATATTAGTTATATGACCCTCAGAAAATCTCATCCAAAAGCCGTATAGGCCTACAATGGGGAACGGGAAAATAAATTGTTATCCGTCTCTGTAAAAGTTACATAGGTCTCCCTCCAATTAAAGACCACTTTTGGGACTGGGCTTTTGGTGGTCTAGAAGCAGCTTTGGTCTCTAATAAAATCCCTCTAATTGAAGACCGGCACTAAAAGTGGTCTTAAATATCACTATTTAGAAGGAAACTAAGAAATGACATAGTAAATGAAGACATCGTTTCATTCCAAGTGTTTTGAATGGGTTTCAGTCACTGTATGCTGTTATTACCATTTCTGGGTATTCACATATCAAGTCCTGTGCTCAAGCTTTCCGGCAAGGTGGGGGGGGGGGCACACCCCCATCGGGGAAGACTACAACCCCCCCCCCCTCTCTCGGTCAGGGGAAGAAATTAAATTTGTAGGAGAGTTTTTTTTTTAATTAAAAAATTACATTTTGTGTTAATTATGGGATTCATTACCTTGTACCTGCCGCAGTCCACCCAGGGAGAGCTGGTGCCACAACTGCAACCCATACGATTGTAATATACAATACGTCGCACATACGGTAGCACTGCTGGCACAAACAGTTTTTAATCCCTAAAAGTTGACAGCTTGGTATTGGCATATGCTAAAATTGTACTTTCGGCGCTCTTGATTTGATTTTTTCCCGGCGACCTTGTTGGAAATTCCCTGACAGTGGCGTAACGCCTATGCGCTCTCATGCGGCGGTCCGCAGGGCCCCGAAGGTGCCCTACTCATAGGCTCGATCTAGCACCTGACCAAAAAGGACTTTTTTGATAAATAAAACCATAATGTGTCTCTGAAATCGACTGTAGGGCATATCATATTATAATGATTAAAGAGAAGGGGGCCCGACGCCCCCCTCTCGGCCCGGGACCCCACAAAATATCATATTATCCAGTGGCGGAATAAAGAGTGTGTGGGAGGGGGAGCTGCCGGTCCGGGGCCCCACTAAATTTGTCAAAATATTTTTTAACTGGAGATAAAAAGAAATTATTCATAATTTTGTCTGTGAAGTGCTTTCAGGCCATCAAGCTGCCACAATCATAATTTTGTTTTTACCTCAGCCTCAACCATGGTGGGTCTGAGGTGGTATAGACTCTCCAACTTTGAAAATCCCTCCCTGGCCTCAATTTTCTGGATGCATATTATATCATTTATTCGTCGTTAAAAAAAATAGAATAACAATGTACACCTAAAAATCCCACGATGGAGTTGGTGATCGGGACCCAAAAAGGGCCCCCAGTTTCAGAAATACACAGGGCCCCCGGCCCCGTCGTTACGCCACTGTTCCCTGACAGGTGGTCCAGTGGTCCCCGACGTTCTTTGTCCCCCTGGACCCCGCTGGCTCCGCCCCTGTTTGCAATTCGCTTTTGGCCTTAGGAAATATCTGCGTTTGTAATGGGAAGGTAAGGCAGACTGCGAGCCTTGCACGGTCTGGACCAAACGCCAAGGAAAAAGAGACAGGCACTCCGGCCTATGAGCCCAGAGCTTCAGTTTTCGACCTTTACCTCACTACAGTAGAATTCAGTGTGACCACTGTAAAAAATCAAAATTCCAAGATTCAGTCTAAAAAATCCCAAAAGATTCGCAAAATATTAGTATATAGGCTTATATACATACAACTTCTTTTAAAAGTCAAATTTTAAAGCTTTCCCCCGTGAATTGCATTATTGTATCGAAATAGTGTCTAGATTTTCGAGACCAACTCGTTCGTTTTGATTCAACTGTATAATTTTCTGAAGTTGGGGAGTGGGGAGGTGGTGGTAGGGAATGCCTTATCTGAAATAAAAACATATACATAAAAAAAGACAGGGCAATTGCCTTTATTTTATTTGTATTATACAGAAAATATTCCAATGGCATAACTCATATTAGAAAAAAAGGCGTTTTTTTTTCTCGAAAATGACCACACCCTTTTATAAATGACCACGCCCCCTTCTTCATGGGAAGCTACTTTAACCGTGGATAGACAATATGAACATATTGCAGAAAAAAAGATGTTTCTTATATAAAAGAATATATTTGATGAGGGATCAAATTTCAGAAATTCGTCTTAATCACAAGTCCCATTTATATGGAAATTTGCTTAAAATATTTAATAAAAAAGATGGCCACGCCCCCTTTTTTAATTAGAAGCGCTACACAGTAGGCTAGGCAATCTAAACATCTTGCAAACAAGGGTTTTTCTTTTATAAATGAACATATGTGATGAGGGGATAAAATTGCAGAAATCACATCGTCACATGTTCTGTTCATATCCAAATTACCTTAAATGTGCCAAAAAAAAATTAGGGCCACGCCAGTTTTTTACTTGAGGCACTACATTTCCAATGGCATAACTCATATTAGAAAAAAGGCGTTTTTTTTTCTCGAAAATGACCACACCCTTTTATAAATGACCACGCCCCCTTCTTCATGGGAAGCTACTTTATCCGTGGATAGACAATATGAACATATTGCAGAAAAAAAAGATGTTTCTTATATAAAAGAATATATTTGATGAGGGATCAAATTTCAGAAATTCGTCTTAATCACAAGTCCCATTTATATGGAAATTTGCTTAAAATATTTAATAAAAAAGATGGCCACGCCCCCTTTTTTAATTAGAAGCGCTACACAGTAGGCTAGGCAATCTAAACATCTTGTAAACAAGGGTTTTTCTTTTATAAATGAACATATGTGATGAGGGGATAAAATTGCAGAAATCACATCGTCACATGTTCTGTTCATATCCAAATTACCTTAAATGTGCCAAAAAAAAATTAGGGCCACGCCCGTTTTTTACTTGAGGCACTACATTTCCGTTGTCTAGCTCCTAAGACATCTGAACATACTGCAAATAAGGGTTTTTCTCTTATAAATAAACACATATGATGAGGGGATAAAAATGCAAAAATCACACCTGTGGTGATATCCTCTTCATATGCAAAAGAGCTTAAATATGCAAAACAAAAAGGGGTTACGCCCCTTTTTAATTTAAAGCACTACTTTATAGTAGGCTAGACTATTTAACCGAGTATAAAGTTATGAATGAAGCAAATAAATTTGGGGTGTGTTCGTCCGAATTTTCTGCATCCCCCTTATACCTTCATGATTAAGCATGTAACATACCCACACAATGAAATGCACTCATAAAAGTGATGATTTATCTAATAGGCCTACGTTCACACAAATACAGGTTTTGTTCATACACGGCTGCTAACGGTTAACAGGATCCAGATTACAAACGTACTCTCACCCGTGCGTTCATACAAGAAATCCCCGATCCAGATACCAAGAAAATGGTGATCGGATCACTGGCCAAATAGGAAACTGGAAATTGGAAATGCGTACGTCTGATCGGTTGGTAGATAGATAAAACGCGCACAATTGCTAACCGATAGCGCTTGCTCCGTTAGCTTATCCGGATCCTGGTAACGGTTAGCGCTAACCGATCGGGCTTTCACACGGGTGCTACCGGTTAGCTCTCGATCTGGATACTAGGGCTCTCGTGTGAACCTGACCACAAATTTACAGTGGCGAATTTGAAATAGAGGGGGGCCCAAAG